CTAGTGGATATTTGATTATTATTTCGTCATTACACTGTTTATAGCTAAGTAAAAATTAAGTTAAAGTTGTTAATAACTAAGTCAACGGACGCAGTCGTATATAAGTTATAATGCTTCAAAGCAGTTTAGATAAGTTACCTTACCGTCGATCGGAATATCTACTGCAAATAAGCCAAGATAGCCTGTTTTTATCTCTCTCAGAAGTACTACTTCCTATTCAGTTTGGCAAAATCTAAATTCTCTAGTTATTTTTGAAACGATTTTTTATGTAAGGCTATACTTACGTCCAGTTGATTATATATATATAACAGCTTCACATTTCGTCCAAATTCACTAGAATAGAAATAAAAGATTTATCATAGCTTATAGATAATAAACGGCTTTTGCTAAATGTATAAGGAATACTACATTATGCACATCACTAGGTTAGTTATTTTATATTGAAATAAATCGCTTGAAATAATGGCGTCCATTTGATGCCTATATTAGCATCGATGACTTAATTCGTCTCTTAAATGGTACGAGCTCAATAATTTTGCTTAGTACAGACCGTCATAGAGAGAAAATAATGGCCTCATAACCCATAGTATTCTTTGAATTTTGTCTACGATTCACTTGTTATATGTGAATGCATTGTTGTCTTTTATTGCAATTATTTATGTCGAGTTTACACTTGAGGTTACTGTCAGTGATAAGGCTTCGCTCAATTTGGAATGAGTCAGATATCCCTCTGCTGTAAGGTTGCCTAACCCCATAAACTAACACCGTCGATATAGTAAGTTAGGTCAGTATCGATTATTATAAGGGGCTTTTCCATCTGCAATACAACGACAAGGCAAGAGGCGACCAACTGCGACCAAGACTACGACGTATTGGAGGTGTATGAACCTGTTCGTTAAGTTTAGCCTACAAAGACAAGGCGTCATTTGATTAAGCTGTAGTCATGCCCAGATGTCCAATCCGGTTAAAGAAGCTAGGAGAAACAAAATCAGCATAGAAGTATGATAAGATTCCGGCCTCCGCCTATTGGTGGGCACCCTGTAGTCTTGGCCGAATAGCTCCATTCTGATTGGGCGGGATGAATGCCTCGTCCTGCTTTTCTTCAAGTCTTCCCAGCCCTCGCTCAGTAATTTTCCTGACTGACTTTCCCACATTATCTTTGCCTGTCTTTCCTCTTCAAGTTTCTCTATCATTCACTGGATCTCCTTGCCGCCCTATTTGCTGGATTCGCGCCGATCTGCTATTCGGAAGAGAGCATTCTTTAAGACACAGTTGCGCCGATTCAACAAAGGAGACTGTGACGTCTGTCTGTGACGTCTGTCAGTGTGGGTCCGCGCGCATGTCCGTCTGAGTGTGCGTGTGCGCACGTCTGCGTCTGCGTGTGCGTCTCACGTGCGCATTTTCCATTGGACTTCAGAGCAAGCGCCAACTCCCTCGACAGGATGGCTAAGGGTGGCATAGTTGTCCCGGCAGGGCTGAGGGAGCTTCTCCAAGACTTTACGGTTGCCGTCCTGCGAGATCACCCTCCAGACCTGGTGGAATTTGCTATTCAATACTTCACAATGAAGAAATCACAAGCAAACAAAGCTCCTGTCGGCAGCGACGAGGAGGAGGAAGAACCGATGCCAGCGCCTCCGAGACGTGGAGCTAGGCGTGCCGGAGTAGCCGCTGAGAGTTATGATCCCGAGAAGGAGGAGTCCGTCGAGAAGGTTGTCTTCCCAAAGACCGAGGAGCAACGCAGTCGTCTGCAGCATGCAACCAGAGATATTCTCCTATTTCGGTGCTTGGACGATGATCAAATGAAGGATGTTATTGATGCCATGTTCGAGCGCAGGGTAGAGGTAGGCGAAAAGGTCATCTCTTTAGGTGAAGACGGGGACAACTTTTATGTGATCGAGAAAGGACTCTTTGACATTATCGTCAAAGTGAATGGTGTTGAGACTAAAGTGGGCCAATACGAGGACAAGGGATCGTTCGGAGAGCTGGCACTCATGTACAACACACCCCGAGCCGCTACTATTCTAGCCCAGACGTCTGGAGTCCTCTGGGCAATGACACGCGAGACTTTTCGGAGTATTGTGCTCAAGAAGGCCTTTGAGAAACGTCGGATGTACGAAGAGCTCTTGGACAAAGTCCCGATGTTGGAAAGCCTTAGCAACTACGAAAGAATGAGCATTGCCGATGCCCTGCGGACACGGATTTATGATGAAGGCGTGAGGATCATCATACAGGGAGAGCCCGGTGCTGAGATGTACTTTGTAGAGGAGGGACAGGTCAGGATTACGATGAAGAAGGAGGGCGACGCCAATGAAACCGAACTAACTCGTCTGGAGAAAGGCGGCTATTTCGGTGAACTGGCTCTGCTCACTAAACAGCCCAGAGCAGCCAGCGTTTACGCTGTCACACGTACCAAACTGGCAGTGTTAGATGTAGACAGCTTTGAACGGCTTCTTGGGCCCTGTGTGGAAATTCTAAAGCGAAATATTTCTAATTACGAAGAAGAGTTGAAAAAGATATTCGGAAGCATGGAGAAAATTCCAGAATTGCGAGGTTGAGGTAATTCCTGTTTTCCATAAAAAAATGCAAAAGTCCCTATTTCGCAGTAAATTTTGTTCATTCACTTTAACATACTCAAAAACCGAATGCTCGCCATCCTACCAACTGTCTATTTACTTCTTCATCTATCTATCCATCTCATTCGTCCGTCTATTTCTCTCTCTCTCTCTCT